AATTAGTAGTGTCTTGTCCCTGTACATCATACTTTTCCTGTTAGGTAGATGACTAGCATGACTTCATTGCTAACTCCTTTCAGGGGAAGATTTCTGAATCAAAATAATTGTGACTTCCAGTTTGCATCGGAAGTTCTTATATAGTTAACCAGGGCCGCCCACTCCTAAGGTTCCATATCTGGTCTCATTCTTGAGATTAAGGAAGTACAGACGGATGGACGATAGTGGGAATTTATAGGTCTACAATTTCAAATTGCAACCAATGAAAAATTTTGCAAAATACTGGATTTTAAATTAGACTTTCAGTTCTACATATTCAAAATTGAATGTAATGGATGAATGTAACATTATAGATTTATAAAACAGATTATACCAGGTGTATAAGCTTAAATCCACTGTTTGCTAATAGATGGCGTAAGCGAGCGTATTAAGTTACCATGACGATGCCATATTGTTTTTTGATAATTTTGACGTCTGTCAACATTAATCAGTGCACATCATCAGATATTCCATACAACAACATATATTCTTTTTTTTGTAATCATGTCTACTTTTGTGCCAGAAAAAGAGCATATGCAGCATGCTTTGCTTTTCTGCTTTAATTTGAAGAAATCGGCTGCCGAAGCACATCGAATGCTTGTGGAGGCTTATGGAGACAGAGCTTTATCGGAAACCACGTGCAGAGATTGGTTTCGTCAGTTCAAAGATGGAAATTTTTACCTGAGCGACAAGAAGCGTGAAAATCGGCCCAGGAAGGTTGAGGACCATCAACTGCAGGCTCTTTTGGATGAGGACGATACCCAATCGCAAAAAATGCTTGCCGAGCAATTGGGTGTTACTCAACCAGCCATTTCCATGCGTCTACGTGCCATGGGAAAGATTCAGAAGATCGGAAAATGGGTGCCGCATGAATTGAACGATAGGCAGATGGAGCGACGCCAAAACACATGCGAAATCTTGCTCGCCAGACAAAAAAGAAAGTCGTTTCTGCATCGGATTGTAACTGGCGATGAGAAATGGATATATTTTGAGAATCCTAAACGCAAGAAATCGTGGGTTGATCCAGGCAAACCATCAACATCTTTCCCAAGACCAAATCGCTTTGGACGGAAGACAATGCTGTGCGTTTGGTGGGATCAACAGGATATTGTCTACTATGAGCTGTTGAAACCTGGTGAAACTGTCAATGCTCACTGCTACCACCAACAACTGATCAAATTGCTCTGTGCTCTGTGTGAAAAAAGGCCGGATTATCAGCAAAGACACGACAAGCTGATTTTCCTCCACGACAATGCACCATCGCATGTGTCAACATTGGTCCGAAACTACTTGGAGACACTCAAATGGGAGATGCTACCCCATCCCGCTTATTCACCAGACCTGGCCCCTTCCGACTATCACCTCTTTTCATCAATGGCCACGTGCTTGCTGAGCGGCACTTCGATTCTTACGAAGACGTCCAAAAATGGCTTGATGAGTGGTTTGCCTCGAAAGAGAAGAAATGTTTTTGGCATGATATCCACACATTGCCCGAGAGATGGAACAAATGTGTCACTAGTGAGGGAAAGTACTTTGAATAAATTTGTTTTTGCTTTCTAAGAAAAAAAACGTGTGTTTTTCTGACTAAAAAACAGCAGATTTAAGCTTATACACCTATGTAAAACATCAAGATGTAAATGAAGACATCTCTATAGCATTGTTAAATTACAGAATGATACTAATAATGATAATGAATTCAGTATGTACAAAATTACCTGTGTTACAGTTAATAATATAAAATAGAAAATGAAAGATCTTTTATCTCAATATTCTCTAAGACATTAAAACATTTAAATTACAGATCAGCAAGTTTGGCTACAAAAACAAAATGAGATAGATTGAGGTTTAATAGTAGTTAAAACAAATAAATGAGATCATACACAGTAAAAACAAAAGATATGTCCTAACATGGATCAGTCAATACAGGATGAAGTAAACATAATGAACATGAGGAAATTAAAGAAACAATTGTCACAAAACAGAAAATACTGGAAACTTTAGTAAAGATAGTCTACAATACAGGACCAAGATATCTGTAAAAAATGTCTGCTGAGTAAGATGGTGTGAGGATCGTAGGCCCAATTTTGCACTAATTTAAGGAAATTCTTAAGCCTATTTCTCTGTTGCAATCGTTAAGAAAACATCACACAGAAAACAGATTGAATATTTACTATCAACAATTGTTTGAGAATAATAATAACAGAGTGTTAAATTAAACAACCAATTGTTAAAGGAGGCGAGTCAAACAAGTAAATAGAAGAAATAATACAAGTTTTGAGCCTAATATGGTCATGACGACTTCATTTAAGCAACATCTTTACGTCATCGATAGACACCCCTTACCTCACACCTTCAAAATCAACCTTTGTCTCTGACAACAGACAATCAACTGATGGACGTTCCCGGGCCAAAACCAAATATAAGGACAAAGCACCCGCACTTCGGCGCATTCGTCCCAGGGAAGTAACTTCTCCCGAAGAAGCTCCACTTGCCATATTGGTGGGCAACGGTGGAAATATTGTGGACACCAGAGGGACTCCACCCAAGGCTCAACCTCATCATATTCCAAATGGACAGTCCAGCCACAGAGAGGACCGACTAGATCCACCATACAACAAGGGAAGTAACAAGGACAAGGCTCGCTCGCCCCAACGACGCCATATTTTTGTCCATTGACACAGAGGATTACGCTCTCTCAGAAATATTTTTTATTAGCCCAGATGTAAACTCTCTTTTGATCTACATAGCTCTAAGTAGAATCGGTAGCGGTAGAATTGCACGCGAGCAACGTCTTCTGTCGTTTAAGCATTTGTAGCTTTCGTCGTATATGCTGTGGTTCTTTGTATGCGTAGTATTTCGTTGTGTTTTTAGCCACTTCTTTTAACCTTAGATTTAGATTTTATATTAAACTTTTGTAGTATTTGTTAACCTGGGGCTGTATTCAGGGCACTGTCTCTCGTCTCTCACAAGCCGGTCGCTGATTGGCTAATCATTTTGATTAACCAATCAGCAACTGGCTTGCGAGAGACCAGAGACAGTGACCTGAATACTGCCCCTGGTTGCCTGTCTTACTCGGACTTTGGATACCTTATCGACTTACTCACTGCACTCCCCATTCGAGAAATAGCCCTCCTTAAATTTCCGAACTCGGTAAACCGAATAGATTGGACTAATCGTGAGTTAGGATGTGACTTTGAATTATCCTAACTGGTGTCAACTCCTGACAGGGACAGGAAACTCTCGATTTCCTTGTCCCCAAACATACAGTGACTAAGAGAGCGAGATTTGCCCCGACGCTGCTCAAGGGTTAGGGACCCCTATCTTCAGCTTATCTGAGAAAGGATTATGTATGGGGTAATTAATGATTTTGTAAAGCCAATATGAAACTAAGTAGAGGGTACTGGAGTAGGAATATATATTGTAGATATGACTTGTTTACCAAAATATATACCAAGAGTATGCTAAAGGTGTCAAATGTAATGCCTTGCATTACTTTAACTCAGTCAGGCCATCTGAAATATTTCTGTTTGGTGAACTTGTCTAACAGAGATTTTAATATAACAGATATATAGTGTTTTTCAGAATAATATGCTGTTTCTAACAGCTGATAAATCTGTAAGTAAAGGTTTTACTACAATGTTTTATCATCATATAAAAAATATATTATGTAATATTTTATTGAAGATGTTGTGTTTATTGGCAGATTCAATACTGTGGTAAGAATACTAATATGTAATTTATTAAGAAATGTAACAGTTGTTGGGTTATCCTAAATAGATATTGTTGTCTGCATCCCTTTTTGCATAAACTGTATCTTATATTAAAAATTATATTATTAGTGTCTTGATAGAAATGACTTCAAGTGCCAATTGAATATTACAATGCGCTCAATGGGTTTGTCCTTGATTTCGATCTCATCATCCTCACATTCCAAAATTTGACATCACACTTTAAAAAATGTCTCTCAGAATAGTAAAGATTTTGCATTTGGTAGATGATAAAGCTCCTCTGAAGTCTTAAGGACCATTAATACATATCCTCAAGATATCTTTTTGTGGAGATGATTTGGATCTAAAGAATATGTGGGTCCTTTCACAGTGCTTTCTGTGATATATTGAATGCATTATTACATAAATGTTTAATTTGAATGATTTTTGAGTAAGATTTGTATACTACTTTGTCCAATTGTAATAAAGTACTAAACTTCTATACAGAATGGCCCAAAACTTATCACAATACCATTACATATATAACTAGCAGGCATCCAGTGGTAAATGCAAGTGATTGCATTTCTATAAGTAACTGCAAGAAATTCTCAACATGCCTGAAAAGCATCTCAATTATCTAAGTTAGATAATTAAGGATATTAATAACTTTTAATTTGGTACAATTAGAGTCCTATTCTTATATTTTAACTAAAATGAATGTTTTGCTTGCTGTGCAAATAAAGTACTTAATGAAATATACTGTACATATATAAAGACTTCATATTTTAATTGGGCAAAATTTAATATTATGATATCCATTTATGATTGACTCAACGGTTGCATATTAATTGAGTTTTTAAGAAGTTAATGCATTATAACCAAGGCCAATATGTATGATATACAGTGGGTGATTGGTTAATGAACATAATCTGTTCCAAGACTTTGTTCGCTATCCGAATTCTTCGTTAACTGATTATCGGTTTACCATAGGTTTTATGGGAATTTGATTAATTGGTTCTGGAGACCCGAAAAATAAAAAATATAAATAAACATAGTAAGAAATTATATATGTAATAATAAAAATACATATATACACAGTCTTGCATTTTTATTAGTCATGTTTTTTCCATTTGTGGGGTTAAAGAATCTGTCTAATGTTGATTGCTTTTCCCTCTTCTTCAGGATTTTTTGGAAGTAATTAATAGCATTGTCGTCATAGAGATCCCTAAGTCTATTAACCTCAACCTAGTTTGGATGCCATTCTAAGACCATTGTTCTGACATCCTCCCACTTCCTCAAATGATTTTTAATAGTAGATATTGGCATTAATCCTCTTTTTCAGAAGAAAACATATCTTGCCAAGTTTCTTGGTGTTCTTCTATTGTCAGATTAGTTTCCTTTATAAGCTCTTCAATGTTCTTTATTTCTCAGATGTGATTTTTGTTACTCCTTTAGTTGCTTGAGTCTTCTTGATAATGCATTTCTTAGATAAGATTGAAGTATGGCCTACTGTAGACTGTTCGAGCCATACTGCTCAGCAGCATCAGACATCTGCCCACTCTCTATATTTTACAATTATACTTTCACCTTTTGAAAATAAAAACAGATGCAAAATTTAATGAGTGCCTGCCTGACAGTTTTGAGAATACTATAAAAGAATTGTTTCTGTAAGAAAATAAAAAGTTGGAATTACAAGGGAGCATTTCAAAGTTTGGAGGAATACTATCCAATCAGTATACACTTGGTTGAGCATCAATGTCAACATTTCCTGTGCTCCGAAAAGTTCTGAATTGCTGCCTGAAGACAAGGTAAAACCACTCGGTATTCATTATTTTATGATGCTTCTTCTTGTGTTTCTGTGAGGTGTTCGTTGTCTGAACATAAAAATCTTTTGCAAAAGTGATTGTTAACTGATCACCCACTGTAGTTAATTGATTATATACTAGTGCATAGATAGTAGACTATCTGTGCAATAAGATTTTGAGGGAGAAAGTGACTGTTATAGTTTTTCTTTACTGTATTACTGCACATCTGTCTCTTATTTGACAATGTTCCTCTTAAACAACAGGCTTTATGAGAATTGCAAAAGGTTGCCCGAGAGGGATTCTGTTATATTAATTAATTAATCTGTGAAAATTAGCTATTGCAAACTGTCTTTGTTTGCATAGACTTCCCTAGAAAATGGCATCATTGCTAGTAAACATAAAACTATTTTTGTCTGATATTAAATTTATATAATTGCCCAAGAGATGATCTTTTCTCATATGCTTATGACATCAATATAATATAAAAGTGATTTAATATATTAAATTTTTGTTAAATACGTTAAAAATTACTTTTATAACAATTGAGCTTATATTGACTAGATAGAATTATGCTCCTTTTGCATTCTTCACATAATCTTTCCCAGACAATGGTTGAAATTCATTTTGATTGAGTATTTCTTAACAAGACTTTTGAAGATTGATGCATTTCATCAGTTACTGTGTAAGAACTTTTCTGTTAGGATTAGTCATATAATAGTTTAAATAATCAATTCAGAATTCTCATTATACAGTTTTGTTTTGTTTATGGCTGATTAAAAATTTGATATGGTTTTTCATATAAAATTTAGTTATTCCACTTGCTGCATAATACTTTTGAATTGAAAAGCAGTTTTTCATGATTTGGATTTCCTACAAAGAGAAAAACGTGTGTGTTAAATGGATCAAAAAGCCACTATAAAAGAATGGGAGATTGGTCAATAATTACCTCTTTTTGTTTTGCCATCTATAAGTGTTGTACAGTTCATCTTCGGAACTGCTGTCGTCACGGTATTCACTTCCCCTCAAAAGGAATTTTCTAGAAGCGGGATCAAGATCGTCTTTCCCTTCCTCGTCGAACAGACCAGAACTACCATCCAGTCTGTGAAATTTATAACTTCTCGTCCTCTTCGGGATAATCAGACCATACACGCACAGGGTGCCAACCATGAGCAGCAGGACCACAGTGCCTGTGAAGAAACATATTGATTATCAACACTGTAGGGTTATTTTGGATTATGCATTAGATTTGAGATTTAAACCTGTGGCAATGACAAACACATGACGAGGAATTCCAGCAATCCGAGAATTTTCTTCCAGCACAAAATCGACCCTCATTGCTCTTCCCGAATAAACCTTTACCACCTGTAACAAAATAACTTTCATTAATATTGTTTAGTAACTTAACGCATTGACTGCCACACATCTTTTGCACAAATGTGTCTGGATATCATTTTGATTATGTAACATTCATTTTTAAATAAATGTAAAAATTTAGCACAAGTATAATTGGTAGTAATGTTTAATATTTGGCAAAAAGTATCTATGTAAATTATCTCATAGTAGGCCTGTGAAATAATTACAGTACTTTATCTTGTAGTTGGCTCTGCAGGAAAGAAATTAAGACTTATGAAACAATAAAGTAACTCAGTCTGACATTAAGAGAGAACTTTGTTGAATGTTTACTTCAAGGCTGCAGAGTCTGTAAAAAAAACCCTTGACTCTGACTCCTGATAATTTTAGTAGGCCGACTCCAACTCTGGCAAAATTAAATACCAAGTCATTTTATGAGGGGGCAGAGGCACTCATAGGGTACCTTACTCTGAACTCTGAAATGAGCCTGGGGATTTACTAACTATAAAAGTATTTACTTTTATAAAAATACTAACTATAAGAGTAAATACTTTTATAGTTAGTATTTTTAATATTTAACTTAAAAATTAATTTTTTATACAAATAAATATTAATGTAACAAATACTGTATTTAATAAGAGGATAAAGGGGGCAGTGATAAAATTCTACATCTACATATCTTTATTCTACAGCATTTGCACTTCAATTTCACCCTTCCAGAAAAGTTAGTCCAATTAAAAAGCGTGCGGTCTAGCTACTTCAGTAGCCCCTTGCCAAAGAAAAATATACACACTGATCAATTATTCTGGCTCATTCAGAAAAATGGAGTACTTATTTAGAACAGGGATAATAAAGGAATGATTCAATAATCAAGTTCAATTGGGTCAAAATAATTTAACTATTAAATACAAATACTGCAAAGAAAACTATTGATACATATTTAATACATTAAATTGCTGCATTTTGAATTTAAAATAAATGAATTATAATAATTAATAAATATAAAATAAACTTATATTTTTTTAATGTTTTTTTTCATTTAAATAAAAAAAAACTAAATTTTAAACTTTTACATTCTAATTATTCTGTAGAAAACAAAAACAGAGAAATGCCAGTCAGTCGACACATTTTTCCGACTCTAACTCCTCTGGTCAGAAATTCCTCCAGACTCTGACTCCACAGCCTGGTTTACTTAGTGAGCCAAAAAGTAGTCAAAGATGATTTCCGTTACTTAGAAGCTCTACTGCTGACTGAAAAAAACATCAAACCAAGCCATGCTAAGCATGCACAAGAGGAAAAAAGATACTGCAGAAAGTTTTTTGTATTTCTTATGGAAAGAAAGCCAGCTCTGTATAGAGAAGTGCTTCAAAATACAGTAAAACCTGTCTATGGCGACCAACCACGGTTCCTTCAAAAAGTGGTCTTTTAGACAGGTGGTCGTCCAATACAGGTGGTCCTGTAATAATGTATTTCCGTACGTATTTTGCACACTTTTTAGTCATTTCTACTAAGCAGAACTTGAGGTGAGCAAAAATAAGCGAATTTTTTCAACGATAGGGCTATATTGGTATTGTATTTTATTCTTATCAGATAACCCGATTTACAGAAGTCGTCGTGATTTTATAAGACAGATTTAATACCAATATTTTAAAGATTAATACAATAGTCGCATTTTCTCATTATAATGTACAGTTTTTTTTTCCGATTTAATTCAACTCGGTTCTTTTCGTTCGCTCCTCAGTTACGTGTATTACGTCATTGATATACAAGCGCGTCGTATCTCTACATCACTTTGGTTTTGGTATTCGTTAGTTTAATCTTATTTTAACTTTAAAAATACTGTATTTTTTAATATTTAATATTTTCTTAAGTACAATAAGAAAAATTAATAATAAAGCAATTTTATTATTCTCTCATTATACGATTTCATTACATTCTGTGATTGTCATTGCGGAATCGAAAAAGGAAGGTTGCCCGTAAAACTGATTTTTGCATTAATGCGTTTATTGTTTTTTGAATATTTTGCCTGCGAAAATTACTTGGATATTATTTTTCTAAAAATATCGGGGAAGTAAGGTAGATTGATACAGAAACTATTTATAGCACATGTACTGTATATGAGCTTCAAAATAAATAAATAAATTTTATCAAACGATGAGATCAGCCGATTAATTGTATCCTGTACAATATTCTATACATTTGTTGCTAGACTAATTTATTAACACCTGCACCTAATTTCAAGGGTGGGAGAAGTGCCAGGATGGGTTCGAACGAGACTTTAGACTAAATGAATTAGGAGGGTGAAACGTTGTTGAGATGGGTTCGAACAATAGTTTAGACCAGATACATTCGCGAAAGTGGTTGTTTATCACAGGTATTGTATGTTGTTTCGGACCAAAAACCGATGCCCGTGGTTGCGTTACACGGGTGGTCATTTAATACAGGTAACTTATACGAAGACTCTATGGATAAACTATTCCGTGCCAGAAATTTTTGCCCGTTTTGGCAGGTGCCCGTCGATTGCAGGTGGTCGCCTAAGCAGTTTTCACTGTATATCATTTATAGTGAAAAACTTTCATGTTGCTTATTAATGTATCAATTTGGCTTTATAAATAAATACTTTATTTTATAAAGCCAAATTGATTTGTCAATTTAATTCCAGATACAAATTACCCATATTTTTAGTCTATTTACAATGAAAATGTTTATACCTAGCAAACAAAACAGACAAATCATATTACATTTAAAAAAAGTTTAAAAGTAAATAGTTTGTCCTTTAACCTACCATGTTTGATGTGTCATTCTTACTCCAGATACCCACTAATTAGTTCTCGCATCTATTTACCATGGGAATGATCTTATCTGGAGAAACAGGATATCTGGAGAAACAGGACAGACAACATTTTACGAATTTAGTGACAGGCACCATCTATGGCTAGATTAACATATTTCATTTATTTTATAGTTGGCAAAGTAGGATTTTAAAAACCATTTTAAAATAAAACACCTTTGATTATTTGTTAGCAATATTTACAGGACCAATTTACAACAACAACCATTATCATATGACTATGGATAAGTTTTCAAGACTGAAAAAACACTAATACAAAAATTGCTTCAAATATATAACAACATTTAAAGCAGCAATGATCAACCCTTTCCAGATGCAGGATGCATGCATTTTTCTTATGGAGTTGCAGGCTTTAAGTCTACCACCAGTACACTGTCATTAACATGTATTTGTGAGAAACCAATCTAAATGAAAAAAAAATTTTTTTTCCCTTAATTCACTTAAATAAATTTTCTAAACTTTTAACTTTCAACCAAGATAGCAGGAAGTGATTCCATTTTTCCATGGACTTGCTTCCTTTCCAGAGATAACACATCTAACTGTATCATTTATGACTGTATATGAACATAACACAAAAAATTGCTATTTGTCTAGCTGGCCAACATTGCTTAAAAAGGGTATTGAAATTAGAGGGGAAGACTCCCAAATAAAAGAAAAAGGGAGCAATGAAAACAGTTCATTCATCCGTCATCGAGTGTTCAACCCGTTGTGGATAACCTTCGCCGTCAATTACTGCCTAGGCCAGGATTGTCCAACATTTTTTCTTAATGGGCCAAATAGAAATTTAGGTATATTCAGCAGGCCACAAAGGTAATTTATAAAAATATATGCTTTTAAAAAGTTCAAAATGTGAATATCAAATTTTAATAACAAATATATATAATTACAAAAAATATTGTATTATTGCCTTTCTTTTATAATATTGTTAATATCTACTTTTGTGGTACCAGTCTTAATTCTAAAAGTGCTAGTTAAATGGAAATAGGTCGAGTTATTTCCATTTATCAGTTTGATGTAAACATTTTTTTCCATGCATAAAAAACAACAGTATGTACTACCCTACATGCATAATACCTCTCTAGATAAATTGACAATTTCATCAAATTCATTGAAAAAATGAACTTTTGAATGAATTTATGAATTTATATTTTTGAATGAATTTATAAAATTTAAGACAAATACAAAGAATGAATTTATAAAATTCAAGAAGGGAAAGTACTCTATAATAAGTTTTCAAAGATTCCCTCCTTTTAAGCTCAATGAGTTGTAGCTGGTATTTGGTGGTGCTTCTACACAATTAAATGAAAATGGATCACTAAAAATTTTTAATTCAGTTTTTATTTTTCTGAAGTAAGAAAATCTGGCCGTTAAATCTTTTACAAAACTTCACATAATTTAATATATTTTTCAAAGTTCACGGGAAATTCTTTTCATTTTAATAAACCCCGAAAATGCAATTTCACACAGTAATTTTATAATGACAAATAACACAAATAATGTTCTTACATGTTTTGATTAGGAAATATTTTTCTGGCCAAAACATATTAAATTTTCTCTTTTCTTCTGTGATTTTTCTTTTCTTAGTATTAGTTGCCATGACCAAATGCTGGGTTATTAAAAATATAAATTTAAACTTAATGAAATAATCTATATATATAAAATTGCTTGTCCTGACTGACTGACTGACTCACTGATTCATCATTGCCCAGAGCAAACTGCTGGACCTAAAGAGGTGAAATTTGGTACACAGAGTACTTCATGAAAACGCACACTAAGAAGGGATTTTTTGAAATTCCCAAGTGGGAGAGAGAGAGAGAGCGAGAGCATTAAAGCTTAACCAGAAAAACGGCTTCTACTGTACTATTTTAGATGCAATGTTTTGTTTTCAGCTACGTTTAGTCTTCATTGAGTACTTAGGTGTATTAAATTAATACTGTTTCAGACATTGTTATAAATATTTTCATATATTTCGATTTTAAATATGTTTGAACCATTTTAAATTTGAATTTGTTATTGAATATTGGTTTGATTATAGAACGATTGTAAATGTTCCAGAAAGTTGATCAAATTGAAAATAGTTCATTTGATTCTCGGCAATTCTCTTCAGCGGTAGGTGTTATATAACAATTACTATGGTTATTGAAATATTGAATGTAAATGGGGTTTGTTTGCAAAACCTCCGCGGGCAAAGTTGTGGGTAACAGCTAGTTATTAATATAATTGGAGGTTAAAAATATTTAAATTAATATTTTTAACCTCCAATTATATTAATAACTAGCTGTTACCCACAACTTTGCCCGCGGAGGTTTTGCAAACAAACCCCATTTACATTCAATATTTCAATAACCATAGTAATTGTTATATAACACCTACCGCTGAAGAGAATTGCCGAGAATCAAATGAACTATTTTCAATTTGATCNATACAAAGTGGAAAGGTCTAACTGTAATTAGAAAAAATGCCAGACAGGTCTAACTAATTTTTTTATTTCTATACAGAATAAATTAGCCCTTTTCACTTTGCCATTAGCCTAGCCTAGAGTCAATAAAACTGGCTGACACTCTTGAAAAGAGGGATTATGTGTCTTTTTCATCTGCCTGACAAAAGATACCCATTCTTTATCACTAACATCACCACTTCATTACAAAAATCTTTGAAACTGAAACAATCAAAATGACAGACCATGCCACGAATATTTTTGATTAGTCAGTTACATTTCAATGTCATAATTGATGACATAATTTGTATCTACTGAAGTGAGAATAATTTTTACAACATACCTTACCAAAATAAATGAAAATGTACCTAAAAAATTTATATTTTTCTGCGGCCCACTGCACCCTAAAGTGGGCCGCAGGTTGGACATCCCTGGCCTAGGCCAACCTTGTGTACCAAAGTGTAAGCTCTCTGTCTCTCGTGCTTACAGACTCCTAAATGAAACTTTGAAATGAAATGAAACCTCAAATGCTGTTTTATTTTGTCAATGTGCCATACTGTACGGGACATAAGGATCAGGGAATGTCATGAAAATTAAAACAAAAGTTTAAGTAGGAACCCTGTATATACAGAGAAATAGCAAAAAAGAAAAAAGCAACATTAGCATATAAATACCTGCACAATGGAATGTCTTTCCCATTGTGCACAAAATCTGCACAATGGGAAAGACAAAGACGACATATGCAGAACTCCAGGAGTTTATAAGGAACTGATGTAGACAATAAATGCAATAGACATCTCAAATACATTAGCACTACTAGACGCTCATTCCATAAGCATCTACAGGAACACAGATATGACATTAAGCAAAAAAAGCTAATCCCTGCCCTCGTCATGTTTGCCTCTGAACAGAAAGTGGAAGTAGACTTTGACAACACATGTATTATCAAACAATGCCACAACATAGAACATATCTGAACCCTCGAGGCACTGGAAATTCATAAATCAGTAATAAGAGGAAATAACATCAACTTTAAAGAAAAACAGCCTATATCTAAAGCATGGCAATATTTATGTGAAAAACAATTTACCCCTACCGATTGATGATAAACATGGATTATAATCATCCATTATATTTAATTTTAAATAATTATTTTTTGTAATTTTTAAAAATTGTTGCTGATATTTCTTTTTTATTTTATATTTAAACTAGTATGTTCTATTTCACATTCTAATTTGGATGTATATTCAGACCTGAAGATCTGTTTAAGATCAAAAATGTTAGTCCTTAATAAAAAATCTACAATTGGAGATACAAAGGTTTTGTGGATGGTTTTTATTACAATTAGACCCAGTTCATTTGTATTGCCATAGAATTATGAAAGATTCAACCCACATTATTGAAAACCCACTATTAAACATGGAGGTGGATCAGTAATAGTTTGGAGTGCAATTTCCTTAACTGTGCTAGTCCTTTTGTATGGGTCAATGGAATTATAGATCAGATACAATATAAAAAAGCCTTGAAAAGCATTTTATGCTTTTCAAGGCTTTTTTATATGTTTCTGATGCAGCTTCATGGTAAGCAAAAGTTGAAGATTCAAGTCTTACTCTGGTTAATTCTTTTCTTTCAGAATAGTCTAAATTATTAATTTAATGCAAAATGGCAGCTATACTGGAAAAACTGTAGAGAGGATGGGATTTTCCAACAGGACAATGATCCCAGAAACACTGCCAATGTGGTGAAAGAGTGGTTTGTAAGAGAAAAGTTAGGATTTTGGCCTGGCCTAATTTGGGAAATAATTGAAACCAACACTTCTGATCGGCTGCAACTGATGAGAAGACAATTGAAAATTTAATAGATTCTACACCTTGCAGGTGCTTGAAAGTTAAGGCAAAAGGGTATGCCACAAAATACCAATTTGTATTTCATTTATTTGAATTTTCTTCTGCCATTAAATTTACATTTCAAAAACTTTTGCTCTTGTAAATTTGCTCATTAGTTTGAAATGCATACTTCTTAGATTATTCCAAACTTGATGATTGGCTATTATTGCACTATTGGATAAAATCATTATTGTAACATTTCATTTATTTCTTTTCACAACAATTAAAATGTTATTGTCAAAATATTCATTGTTCAAAAATTTATGCTTGCCACTGTATTAATATTATGTAGGCTTTTGGTATTATTCGTGGTTTCACAATTTTGTTTATGCATAAATTAATTCTGAAATAGCCAACCTTTGCACTCAAAAACCTTGAAACTTGAATTATTCTAATGTGATCAAATGATAAAACCACATTAACCATTAGCCAAAATTTATTAGTCCAAATTACATAGTATTTATGATATTAAAGATATTTAATTTAATAGAAAATGGAAGCTTAACTATGTTGTTTTTTTCCAGAGTATTCTAAATATGCAGACTCAAACTTGAAACTTCTGCTTATCAATGTGGATGCATTGCTGATTACACTATCCAAATCTATATCCAATCTTCACTTCTATACTTAATTTGAGAGATGTAAGCACACAGCCTTCAATCGGCACAGTGAGTGATCTGCATGGTAATTCTCTTAAATTAACTAGATTAGAAGTAAAGATCAGATAATTGTCTGGGTAACATAATTGGCAATGCAGTTCAAGATTCAAGTCCTACTCTGGAAAATTCTTTTCTTTCAGAATAGTTCAAATTATGTAGCAGCTAGGGTATTAATCAGAATTAATAGAAAAAAACTAAAATAAAGCACATGTTTCCATAAATCTTTTTTTAACAAAAAACTATTACCTTTGTGACAGGAAAATAGCCTTCGGATTTCACCGTAATTGTGTATTCTCCTTCTCCGAGAGGATACCAATAATCTCCGTATTTATTGCTGTAGATGGTGGAGTCATTTACTCCCTCGATGGAAATAGTGGCTCCAGAAATAGAAATTCCAATTTTTGCATTTATGAAACCGTGAATGCCTCTGTGTGCCTATTAAAATTAGGTTAAATATTTTAAATTAAAATTGTCTATATTTTTCAATGTTTTACAGAAATTTAACATTAAAAATTTAAATTTGGTATTTGCAATTATAATAAAATCTAATTAGGCAAAACCTCTTAATTAAATAATGAAACCAGAAAATTAAAGTTCAACTAATCTAAATTATTTTGGATTTACTGTCAAATTTTTCCCACAAGATATCCTGCCTAGGATGGAATCCAAGACATGAATATACAATTACATATACAGATATTGAATCAAAATCAAATCTATTGATATTTATTTTGCTTGTGTGATGAATTTTAGGAAATAGTTAAATAATTATTATTAACTAAAGTTTGTAAATTGTTTTAAAGGTAAGAGGTGTGTCATTCCAAAGTGAATCGTATCCACTTTAAATGACTTCTTTTTAATTTTCAGAATGCTATAAACTGTTTTTGAATGATACAATCATTTTATCATGATAGCCCTTTACACTAGCAATCAGATAGTACAAAAATTTAAAAAAGTCGATAAGATAGTTTGAAATGACATACCAATTAGTGATGTGCCGGATATCCGAGGGAAAAAAAAGATCCGTATCCGTTACTTTTTAGCGGATCTTTAATGGATCTTTTATCTTAATGAATTTCATTACTTATATGAAATTTTAAAGATAGGTAGTAATAAAATACTAATAACTTCAATTCAAATCACTTTTTATTTCTTAAAATCACATATTTGGCACATTCATATTGCAAAAATTTTATAATGCAAAATATTTAAATATTAATTATAGTAAGTTACCAGTATAAGGTATTAATTTAACTATGCTTACCAGACATCCCGTTTTGACGATGTTGTCCAAGCATCCCGGCCAGTTTGTCATTTTGTCCCGGTTATTTGGCAAAATTTTAAAAGTGCCAAATATACAAGAAGTAAAAATAGTGCAACCTCGAGTAAAATGGCGATTTGGCACTTACCCCTCTGCTACACTCACTGTTGCCAATCTAAATATTTTGTATCTAGATCTAAGTACGTTTAATGTTGTCTATATGTTTTCCTCAAAAATTTATAGCATACAAGGTCTGTTCAAAAAGTATCGGACCTTTTTATTTTCCGCGTAAACCAATGATGCGAGAGAGGCCTTCGGTGGAGTTGTGGAGGGGACAGTCATGCACAGCCCTGAATTTTTTCCCGCCTGCAGGAAGCGTCAGTCGTTGGCAATCGGCGTATGAGTGAGGTAATGTAGTGCGCTCTCGTCGGATTTCACTAAGCTGGAAAATGACTGAACAACGTGAGCAGCGATATTACATCAAATTTTGCCAAAAACCTTAGCAATACCCGAGTGTAAACCATTCGCAACATTCAGCAGGCTTTCGGGGACGATCCTCGAGGCCAAAAAAAGCGCGGCAGGTCCGCAGCAATATCAAAGGTCATGTTGACAGTTTTTTCGACTCTCGTGGGGTGGTGTGTCGTGAGTACGCACCATAAGGCCAAACCATCGCAAAGGAGTACTACCAGGAGGTCCTTCGTCGTCTTTCCGATACAGTGCGACGCAAACGACCGGATCTGTGGTCGATCAAAACTTGGCAGCTCCATCGTGATAACGCATCCGCCCATTCTGCGCATCTGACTCGGGCTTTCGTCGCCAAACACAATACTCCTGTGGTTCGTCACGCTCCGTACTCTCTCTATATGGCTCCGTGTGACCTTTGGCTATTTCTCAAGCTGAAAATGCTGCTAAAAGGAACCCAAATTTAGTCGAGAGAAGACATCATGCGAAATGCGACGGACCGGCTGATAACCATTCCAAAAGATGCGTTCCAGCAGTGTTTCCAGCAATGGCAGGAACGCTGGGAGAAGTGTATACATTACCAAGGAGACTACTTTGAAGGGGATTAGGGTTTTGTACCTCAAAGTCAATAAATTTATTTTTGCCGACCAAAGGTCCGATACTTTTTGAACAGACCTTGTATGGCCTAATGAATTTAGATGTTTTATTTTGTCATTCAGATGTTTTTTCACAGAATTTATAATAGCATGTAATCAATGAGATCTAAATATTTCTATTTCATTTTTTTTAGATATTTTGTTCCAATTAGAGTTGGCAAGACTGAAACTTACACTGGCCATGTCATTGCTGCGCATGTCATATCTTAATCGAGTTCAAATTGCTGATCAGCATTTGTAATTATTTCGTACAGTATCTGCGCATTATTTTATTCAGCGTGCTTGCAGCCCTTTTAGCGCATGTGTTCAATTATTAAGCCTACTGTCAGCGCACTAGCAGCACCTCTTGATTACACTAAAAATAGTGCTTACAAGATGGACGCCTCCATGAGAAAGTACCTTTTTCGACTACCAAATAATAATCAGTTTTTTGCTCTTTTAAATGAGCAGATTTTTAATTGTGACATACGAAAATGACTTTTAAAGATTTCATTCGAATACTGCAGTACAATATTGTGAACGTAACCAACGATTTTCGCACGCTTTCTTTGTTGTTGGGAATCAGTCATCACCAATGCCATAAATAAATCATCATTTCCTTGTTTTCTTATAACATCGAACTTAATGGCTTTTCTTCTAATATGCGCATAAATATAGCAGAAAGAAAATCATTGTTTATATCAGCCATTTTGAGATAGCTCTTTCTCCGGCAAACCTTAGTGCTTTCAACCGTCAGCAGTGAAAATGTCATTTCCAGTAGCAACTGCTCAGCGCACTGCTGAATGAAAGAATGTGCGGTATATTAAATTCATTTAATCTCTAAAATGCCAAAAAGAAACCATGTGTTTACTGATTATTGAAAAAAAGTTCTGTGATCGTATTAATGAAGTAAAATATGATCTGTGCTTTTCATAATTTTCAGTAACTCATGGTGGACATCAAACATTAAAAATCATTTGAAATGTGTGAAACATAAGGCAAGCAATAGGAACTTCCTCAAATGTATTGCCATATTTTAAATGTACCGATTTTAAACGACAAAGAATTTTTAAAAAAGTTCACACTAGTGATAAATATTAATAATAAGATATGTTTAGTTCAGTTATTAAAAATTGCTTTTAACTCGTTGTTTTTGTTAACAACTACTTATCCTAGTAGGCTAATTTTCTGTTGCAAGTATTTTCTCAAAATTGTTCCGGTTTGAGAAAAAAATATTATGGTAAGCCTAAATTTAACTATCTTTATAGTGAGATCAAACCTCTAATGCTAATTGAAATAATAATCACGGTTATATTATATTATATTATAATAACAACCATGACTCAGGGAAAAAAGAGAAGTGACCCAGTGGATCATTTGTAGGCTGGATGGCAGAATGTACGGACAAGGTGAGAATACTGGGAGTTGTATTAGCAACGACCAGAGAGTTCAGAAATAAGTTGAGAAAAAATATCCTGTTTTAAGATCGTATTGATGACAGTGGAAGGAAAACTTCTAATTATTGAAGAAGAGAACCGGCCAGTTATAGGAGGACGTGTGTTATTCCACCCGACAGTACACACAAAGCAACAAGCCGAAAAAAGGGACAAAACCCTGGGTATCCCTATTTCTATCTTATCTACCATTTTTTCTGTCTTCTTAATTCTAACTTAGCACTAATAACAGAAAAAGGAATAATGTTTAAGGTTTTGGGTTATATATATTGTTGCGATCAGGATCTGTATTGTGCACATGCTTTGGATACAGCGATCTATTTTTATTGCTGTAATTTTGCATGCTACTGTTTGTACCGTGAAGTTGGAATCCCCCGAAATAGAATCTGTATAAAGACTCGAAATAGTTTAATTGGAAAATTATATCAATTTTTGTTACTTTATTCTGCCTCCCTTTATGGTGAATTCTAATTTCAAACACTTTCACACTATAAACAAGAACATTGTAAGGAACCAAGTCCGTGCATTATTTTTATTTACTTTTATTTTTGTTTTTTATTATATTTTTGTTTGGGGCTTATGTTTTGTTAGGACGAAGGTTTCCTCACCATTCACCTTAGAAACTTAAAAATAGAAGAGACACCAACTCACCAATGAGAGAAAAGCGCCGTAGAAAAAAACTCGCTCACACTTGTGCTCCCGAGCGAAAAAAAAGTAAGTCCGCACCGAGAAAAAGGGGGAGACCCCACAAGCACAACTTAGCGACTCGCTAAACCTTAAAGAATAAAAACATCCCGAAAATTGTCAAAAAGAATAATGTAAAAGGTTAGCGAGTATTGTCGGTAAATAGGCTGCCAGACAAATAGAAAAAGCTTATTGTTAGCAAATAAGTATGTAAATGAGGGGATTGATCGCATTCAGAGTTGTGACATCACCTCACAGTATAAAGTCCAAATTTCAAGTGAAGATGGACGAGGTGAGCTTCGTAGCAGCAAATGAAAGAGGGGTGTCCAATAGGATAAAATAGCTCCAAGGCACTTTTGAAGTTATTCGATTTGTGGATCGAAGATTAGAGAAAGTCTTGAGAGTTGAGGAAAAGGGTTCCTAGTATATTGAGGTGACGATTAGGATCTTTAATTCATAAGAATTATTGTATATAAATTAAGTCTTTGAAATTTTGTCGAATTCCAAAGGGGAATAGAATTAAGTTAGAAAATAGATTGAATTGAGTTTTGTCGGGTTGATTCTTATTGAATAAATTGTTACTTGATTTTTACTAAATTTTGTGTATAGTTATTATTAGAACTTTTATTAAATATTTGATTTGTTATTGACAAACTTTGTCATTATTTAATTCGGTGCACGCTTAAAGTCCAGGCCTAGCACACTAATGCGAATCCATGTAAAGTGCCCATTAGGCAATGGCTATTTCCGGCACACAGTTGTGTCGATAATCGCTGGAAAAGTCAGAAAAATAATATAGTACTTTACAACATGTGCACTGCAAGTCAAAACACGTCATGTTACTAATGCAAAGCATCAACTATCGGTCCAAGGTCGCATGCACCAGCGCCAACTGAGTACGAAAGTTGAGATCCGTATCCACGGATATATATATTTAACAATCTGGCACATAGCTAATACCAATACATGAACAGCAGTTAATACAATTGATAAGAGCCTTAGATTGAACAATAATTATTAAAATTTTTAATATATTTCATTCTAATCTTGAATAGGTGCAATCTTATCACAAATATAGATTTAAACATCTTTTGAATCATACATAAACCAGCAAAGAGTTATCTGCTATTTTTTCAAATTAAGATAGGACTTTGAAATTACAATGAAATGTAACCAATAGAAGTCTCATGAGAGACTTCTCCTATTGGTACATTTCAATAGCTAATTTTTCACCACAAAGAAATTTCTTTACTTAATTTCAATAAATGTCAGAAAATATTCTGTTTCTATTTGCTTGTGTTCCCAATCTAAGTCAATTTTTAATAAAGCAGGAGTTCTGTTTACTGTACGCATTTGTTACATTGTAAAAAAGAACAAGTATTTGAGATTTTTATTAGTATTCTCCAGTGTCGAGATAAAGATGTGTAGATTTTTGATTGTATAATATTTAGTTATGACCAAGACAAATGCAGAGAAAATGCAAGAGTTTTGACCTCAAATTCACAAAAGTAAATCTCCCAAGATAGCATCTGAAGTTTCATTTAATAAAATAATAATGTAATGTTTGTTACTCCAATCTTCTGTTATTTCTTAGTGCAATTAATGCATATCCTCGATTGATCCCTTAAGTAATTTTGGGAGTGGATACATACAGTGTTACAAAGGAGCATTATGGGAGCATGAGATGGGAGTGGAAAAGTATAAAAATAGCATTGTATAATTTATGAATGATCCATGAGCTATTTATTTATTTAGGGTTTAAAATGTTATCCTTTGTCTGAAGTAAGAAAAAAAAATTGGGGTCTTACGTGTTTGTCTTTTGTCTGTCCGTTCATCTCATCTAGTTTGTTGTTGTGTTTGTTTGTTTTTCGTGCTGTCTGTCTAGCTGTTAAGTAGTATTAAGATGATGCTGAACATGAGTGAAACAGAACATGAGTGTGAACTCATGTTTAGTTTCATTAGCATTAAGTAGTTGTAAGTCTATACTAACAGCCACTTGGCACTAACTTCTACACTTAGCTATTTGTGGCAGCACTAAATTATTAGTGTTTACTACACTCGGATTTTCTTCTAGATCCTTCGGGGGATTATGGCCTTGCAGCCTAAAAACTGCACGCCAACATCAAACATAGAGGGTACTGTAGTCATATGTATGCCATTCAGAGAGATCCTACCTTTCTCTACTATCTATCTCCTCTCCCTTACCCTCTTTTTCGCCAGCTAAACACCTCAAGTACAGCTGAAATCTTTCTTGTATGTATGTATGTATGTATGTATGAAGTAAATAAATGTTCAGGATTTTAAGTGTTTCTTGCAATGCATAGAAGGCTTATGGCTTTTCCAAACTCTGTGCTAATTTTCATTTGCTCATCTGGCATAAGAATATTCTAAGAAATTACAAACAAGAACTTTCAACATTTCAAAATGCCATCTTCAGGTTGAGTGTATACCATTTGAATTACAATTTTTAAAAAATGTATGTTAACAATGTACTTTTTAAAAAATTCTAATTCTTTGAAAGTACAGTGGTGCCTCGTATAACGTACTTAATCCGTTCCAGGTGCACACCCATTAAGTGAAAAGTCCATTATACGAAACGCATTTTCCCATAGAAATACATGTTAAAACATATAATTCGTTCCGCATCATAAAATAACCGTACTGTACCATAAAAAATGAAAATGGAGCAGTCACCAATTATGCCAGGTAGTCAGATGATGTGAGGAGGAGGTGGAGGAACACTTTCGTCACACATTCATACAGATACAGACTTTTAACACATTGCAGCGGGTTTCTTTTTATTGTTTTTTAATCAGAGTCAGATCCAGGAGAGGCTACTGGGGCTTGCAAGGTCAACTCCTCTTGTTCCATCTTTGTTTTTTGGCAGCTGGCTTCTTGAAAAACATGTCCAAGGTGGTCTGTTTCTCTCTCTTCTTCAACACCTGTCAAAAATAACGGGCAAGGGTGTCATTGTAGAGATCATTGATCCTGTTGGCCTGAGTTCTGTTTGGATAATGAGTGTTGGTAAACTCCTGAACCTCTCTCCATTTGACAAGGAAGGTTTTGCCAACTTTCACTCCTTCTGATGATTTCTTGCTTTGTTTCAATTGAAATCACCTTTCTGTATTTTTAGAAGCCATGATTTGCACAACACTCGAATAAATGTAAATACCCTGCACTGAGGTGATGTACTGTACGTAATAAACAAGAGAGCAAGCCAAATCCCAACGGGAGCTCTGTACTTCAGATATACTAATAATATATTCTAAAAATAGCAGATTGTCATTGGCAACGGCAAAAGAGTGGAAACATCATTTGCACTTGTTTGCAGAAAGTCCGTTTTTGCAGCTTCCATTATTCGAGGTGTATGTTATACGAGGCACCACTGTACTTGTTTGCAAGTAAACAACTTTAATGCTAAAAGACAAAATGGTTTATTCTTAATCTAAGTTTAGTGTTGTAATTTGTGCAATTGCAATTAAGAAATTGCAATTGCACAAATTAAAATCTTACAATATTTGAACATGATGTTTTTCTTTTCTAAAATAATAATTTGTCAATATTAATGGCACAGTGAAATAATATTCCTATTCCAATAGGCAAAATTTTCTCAATTAATTTGATGGTTTTATTTAATCAAAATTATTATAGAAAAAACTAATATTTTTTATATTAACATTGTCAAAACAAACTTACTTGGTTTAACATTTCTATCAATGCTGGTTTATGCTCACTCCATATCTTATATAAATTAGAAGAATCAGTTGATCCACAACAGTCTACATACACTTCTAATCCATAAATACGGGCCTTTTCATACATGTAGTCCTGGACGAAAAAAACAAAATCTCAAATACAATACAATATAAATTTATATAAGTATTTTAGGACTTACCAGAAAACTTCCATTATGTGGATGTAAGTTAGCAGCAGAAGTAACTCCATTTGGAAAAGTTTCTAAGAAATGATGTAATTTTGGGTGAATAGACAGCATTTTGTTATCAAAATTTAATACTGCTACAAAATACAGTAGGTGATTGGTTAACAAACATAATCCGTTCCAAGACTTTGTTCGCCATCCGAATTCTTCGTTAACTGATTATTGATTTACCATAGATTTTTATGGGAATTTGATTAATTCGTTCTGGAGACCCAAAAAATATAAATAAACATAGTAAGAAAGTATATATGTAATAATAAAAATACATATATACACAGTCTTGCATTTTTATTAGTCATGTTTTTTCTGTTTGTAGGGTTAAAGAATCTGTCCAATGTCGATCGCTTTTCTCTCTTCTTCAGGATTTTTCGGAAGTAATTAATAGCATTGTCGTCATAGAGATCCCTAAGTCTATTAACCTCAACCTAGTTTGGATGCCATTCTAAGACCATTGTTCTGACATCTTCCCACTTCTTCAAAAGATCTTTAATAGCAGATGTTGGCATTGATCCTTTTTCATCTTCCTCTTTTTCATAAGAAAACATGTCTCGCTGAGTTTCTTGGTGTTCTTCATTTAAGCATTCTTGGAGTTCTTCTGTTGTCAGATCAGTTTCAGATTCCATTATGAGCTCTTAAATGTCATCTTTATTCACTTCCAATTCCAGATCTCTAGCAGTTGTCACAATTTCATCCATAATTTCAGGGACATCATCTCTCTCTCCCTGAATGCAGGAGGGACACAGCTTTCAACTGTCGTTGAGTGACTTCTGACCATGCCTTTTGAATGAGCCATATAGCTTCAAGAATATCAAATTTTTCTTTCCAAAACGTTTTTAATGTCATTATTGAGGAGAACTGGCATGCTTCAAAACACCGGCGAAACAGTGCTCGAATGTACAATTTCTTGAAACCTGCAATATCCTCTTGATCCGTTGATTGAATCAATGAAGTGGTATTTGGAGGTAGAAACTGAACTGTCAGTCAGGGAAAGTCTTCCAGCAAATTATCTTCAAGGTCTTTTGTGTCTCCTGGTGCATTGTCCAATAGCAACAGTACTTTTAATGGCAATTCATTGATCTGAAGGTAATCCTTGATGCTTGGAGCACAAACTTCAAACAGCCATTTTTTGAAAAGAGTCTGCATGCCCCATGCCCTTTTATTTGATCTCCACATCACTGGTAGTTTTTCTTTAATTATGGAATTTTTTTGAATGCTCTAGGGTTCTTAGAGTGATAGACAAGAAGCGAGATAAGCTTCATATCACTGCTAGCATTAGCTCCCAAAAGTAATGTCAATCGGTCTTTCATGGGTTTATGCCCAGGAATATTTTTCTCTTCTTTCGTAATGTAGGTACAATTCGGCATGCACTTCCAAAATAAACCAGTTGAAAATTTGTTATGGACAATATCCTTCTTTTTTAATGAATTCTTCAAATTTGAGATAGAACTTCTCAGCTTCTTCTTTATCTGCACTAGCAGACATGTTTAATGCCAGTTCTCCTTCTAAACTTAGAATTCAAAGCTACTACTGGATGGTTTTCAATCTCCTCATGTGACAAATGTGGAGTTTTGATTCTGATGAAACCGTGTTGTTGTTATTAAGCTGTTTCTTTGCAGACACACTAAGGTGACATATATCAACACTTGGCAACTTATTGACTATTTATTCAGTTGGGACGCCTTTTACATTACGCGTTTCGGGCATTGGCCCCTCTTCAGCCAACTAGACATAAAAAATAAAACATAAGAAAATTTGTACAAAAATACGCGAGTAGATAAACTGTTTTTTTAAAAAAATTTTTTAAAAACATACCATAAAACACAAACCACTATTGTACAGATGTCGAACAGGATGGACAATTTCATATTTCATATACAACTTGGATAACAAACAAGGTCGACGATAATCATTGGAGAACAAACAGGGTCGTAGATAGCAGCTTGACTACTGGGCTTTTAAATATGGCTTTCTTATAATTTACACAAAATTCAAATAAATAGATTGACAATTACAACATATCTTAACAATATTTGTTTTTACCTGTGGTTGATATTCGCATATT